AGCAGGCTAAAAATTAAGTACGTATGAAAGTACAACACGCTTCCTCATCTTAAATTATCCTTCACAACACAAAAATGCCTTAAATAAATTAAAATATTATCATGTCACCAGAATAAGCAATGAGGAAAAAAAAGCTACTGCAGATCTCTGCATGAAATCATATCACAATATTGATTTATGCAGTGCTCTCACAAGACAGGGTTATAGATAGAAGAAGTGACCAGTACTAGAAAAGAAATTTGGGTACATAACACAGTATGCAGACTGACTGTGTAGTCTAGAAACAGAAACTAAGATTACGGAATATTTTTTCTTCTACAGCAGAGAAGATGAGGGACACAAGTAAAATAGCACCTCTAATTACCACTGAGAGTTTCCTCAAAATACTACAAAGAGAAAACACCTCAACTTTAGCACAAAAAGCCAAATCTCACATAGCATTGTTCTGTGTGTCAGTTTTCCAACATTTTAGAACAATTATCTTTCAGAAAGATCAAGTTAGTTTGCCAACTAACATGAAACATTCTCACCTAATTCTTAATGATACCTGAGGGATCTGCTCTTCTTCGCAGTTCCCCAACAGCTTTTCAAGATCAGTCAAGTTCTCAAGGAATTATGATGGGATTCTCTATTCCATCGCAGTGTCAAAATTTACTTAATTTCCCAGAGTTTTTCTAAAATTTCTGTATACATATACAATTACAAAAGCAGTTACCGTAACCATGACTTGGCTAACTTTTACTTATATCTGTTGATCTGTTGTCAATATGTCCCCTTCATAAGTTACGATCCTTCTTGTGAAACAAAGGAATTGCAGGTACACATGAAAGGAAACATCATTCTCTATAACCATGTACAATTTGCTATGTCTCTCCTGGGAAGGCCTTCGAGACAGCAGGATAATAAAGACTCTGTCACCACTAACTTGGAGCAGATTGTTTCTTGTGACTTATGAGATGGAAAAAGACTTCAGTATTCATTACCAATTCCCTAAAGCAGTTTTTCCTCAATTTTTAATGTATTAAGTGTAAACACATCCATTTAATACATTTGGTATTCTAAACATACACATTGCTGGATTTTTTAATTCAAGGACAATCAATTAAAAGGAATTTAATTAGTATGATAGTAGACTAAAACTTAGTATGAAGTAGAATTAAAAACCATCACAATTACAAAGCATAATTATATAAGCCCCTCTCTAAACATAAAACAGTATCTGCTGTTATTTTATGATGACACAGTTTTTAAAAAAATTGCATTAGCAAATTGATTCAGTCAACCTCAAATACAAACATGTTTGGTACATCTAGTGATATGCTTTTATCTGCACCACTCTGCATAATGCTGCATAGCCAAATTTAAACAATAAGAAGCAGACACTACTTTTGACATTTATTATTTTGTTTCTGTACTATATTATCTGCTCCAAGAAGGGTGGGTTGCACCTCAAACTACCCAGAAGTATTACCCTGTCAATTCAGAAGAAAGCAATTTCTGCTACTCTAAAATGGCAATGCTGTCTCACAGTTTTCTCTTCCTCATTTCCTTTTTTTTTGTTTGTTTTTGTCCAGGAACTAATATTTCTGCTCTTGGTAGGTATGCATTCCCAATATTTTGATTATTTTATAGCCCTTAACCTCTACTTAAATCATACAAAAAAACAACAACAACAACTTCTAGTCCAAGCACTGATTATTATAGGCTCTGACTTCTGCTTCATGACTTGTGTTAAAATACTCAATCAGTTCACCTCATTCCTTGTGAACAGGTTTCTATATCAAAAAGCCTGCTGTCACACAAAGTACCAGCCAAGTACCTTGAAGGTGGCATCCAGTGCATTCAGCTGTTTGCAAAGCCTTTTTAAATTATTATGACATTGGAAAGACTTTAATGCTTTAGCCTGTCGTTTTAAATATTACTCAAGCGTACATTTTAAATACAAAGACATCAGTACTGTATCCTTGTTCTCTTTTCTGACTGCAGACAGGCAAGGATCACTGCTTCCATGATTTTGCCTGTGGAGTAGAACTGACAAGTAATGTCCCAAAAGACCACTTACTGAGAGACTGCAACATGTAAGTGACATTTTATCCTCATGCCTACATCCAAATAACTGGACAAAGAGGCAGAAAAAAGAACTGCCAAAGTCCTCGCTCTGATGTGAACTTCCATGTACGAAGACAGGGTATGAGAATAATAATAAACAAGGTATAAGCAAATATTAAAAAAAGAAAAAGAGAGTATTTTTTAAATCTACAGAATACTACTCCCAAATAAAAATTTCCTATGAAATGTAAAAATAATTAAAGACTTTGGTGATAGCATCTAACAGGAAAAAAAAAAGTTAGGAAGTTAAGAAGTTAATACAGATAGGATAAGGAAATTACAACTCAGTGACCCTGAGGGCCACTGGGGCATGGTTTGGAACCTCACACTTCTAAAGACCAATAACTGTTGTTTAAAAGAGCACAGTAACTTCCCATCAACAGTTTCCCTGTCCAGTTATAACAGAACTAAGCAAATCAATTCTTTCAGAGGAGACGGAAAAAGATGGCACATAACTAGTTACACCAAACTCTTCCTACACTTAACTACCCAAACTATCACTCACAGATTATGCATCACTCACAGATTGTGCTATGCTTCAGGATTATTTGGAGAACCAGTTAAGGCAGCCTTGCAATCACCTTACTTTTGCTTACTAAGAAACAGCGTAAGCATTAGTCTTCAAGGTATGGGACTTGAGTATTTAACACACAACAAGGACTCACTCTTGAAGTAGTTTTAGGATTTAGCGATTTCTAGGGATTACGTGTCAATCATTATCATTCTGGATATCATTACCATCACTAGGAAATCACAAGTGACAATTTCAAAAGTGGCAATGTGAATTATACTCAACTGCTGAATGCCTGAGTTCTTTACTCTCCCTCTTAATTCAGAAGAGCCACCAGTAGCTCCCCCAATAGCTTGAAACCTTTAGTTACTTATTAAAAGCATGTGGGCCAAGCATTCTGGAAGGAATACAGCCATCACATGTGGTCACCAGAAAAGAAGACTGAAGACGATTGACATCAAAAATGCCTGTTGACTTCTAAGAAAGACACTGTCAGTGCCCCAACCAGTGCAGTGGTCTTAGAAGAAATTTAGGATGAAACCACTTCCAGTTTTACTTAGGATATAATGTTCTGTCAGGTTTTTCTCCTTATTGGCAGGTATTTTGTAAATTAAAAGTTTTGATAAAAACAGAAAACAATATTATAGACTGCATGCTGTGCAACATTCTTAGTTTGTTTATGTGTTATTTATTGTAGTTTTCTTTTTCTATTCCCTATGCCAAATAAACTTCACTTTATTTACAGGAGCTAGAATTGGCAACTTACAGGAGTGGGAAGAAGAACACCAGGAAGTCCCTAAAAGAAGAAAACCAACTTCTGACCTTTGAAAGCCGGACATTGAGTAGAAGCAATGGAGTGACTCTGAAGAGAGGGAATGGCAGCTGTAGGTAAAAAGGTGTTGCAAAGAAGCTGGAACAAGCCCATGCAAGAATGAGGAATTTGGATCTGCAAGGCTTCAGCTGAACATATTGTAAACGTATTTCCCTAATAAAGCAGTAGTTAGGGTAGGCAAAGCTTAACCAATAATGTTGCAAATGGAGAGATCCAGAACTGTGGCACAGATCAGCAATTCCTTAATTGATTTCTGATGTTCACATTTCAATCAACAGAAATTCTCACCTTAAATGACAGGCCCAGAACACATCAATTACTATTAGATGAATACTGAGCTTGTGCTTTCCACAATTTAGATTTTTACCCAGATTACATTTGCTCCCTTTTGTTCCCAATACAGTAACCTCAATTAACAGGCATGTTTGTTATTTATACATCACGCGACACAAAAATCAATTACCCACAATTACTTTTCTTTGAGAGAATCTGACATGCATGTATACTCTCAATTACATACACTGTTTACATATTCAGGGGAACCTTTTGGACAGGAAATGCTTTCTATTCCATGCTCTTGAGAAAACAAAACACAGATCAGTAGTAATCTAGGAACATCAGTAGCTATATTGGTACCACAATTGAATGCAATACGGATCCTCGCTTTGGCTTGCTCACAAATGGGATGCCAAAGGAAATTGCAGCTCATTCAGCAGACTGAATAATTTATTGTCTAAGGCAAAATTTTAGAGCAGTCATGTATGAGTTTACTAAGCTTAAATTGCAAACAAAGCGTGTCATGTTGTTCCACCATTGAAAATTTCAAACTTCAGAAAATATTTTTTCAGTTCAATTATTAAAACCAAATGCCTACTGATCCAAAACTGATCCTACTGATCCACTAGTACCAATTTAAAGTATGCTTCCGAAGATAAGTTGTCCACACGTACAGCGTAACTAAACATTGAAGCCACAATTACATTAAAAGCCAATAAAATTAATTTATATTGTTTACATATATCTTTTTATAACTTGAAAACACTTTCTTTAGATAGATGAATAAGCTACTACACAACCACAGTTACTTCATTTTTGCACCAACTTAACCCACAGTAACCAGCATGTGCAGGAATAGGCAACAGCAAAATAGGCAGGCAACCAACTACTGCAGAGTAGCTGTGGGTGGGTAGCTTGCACCTTGTTCCTTACTCCATTGTAATTTGCCTGTCTGCTCCAAAAAAGTAACCATGAAGATGGAAGTCACTGGACTATCACAGAATCACAGAATTTCAGAGTTGGAAGGGACCCCTAGAGATCATCTAGTCCAACTCCCCTGCTAAAGCAGGATTGCCCAGAGCACATTACTCAGGACTGCATCCAGGCGGGTTTTGAAGATCTCCAGAGAAGGGGACTCCACAGCCTCCCTGGGCAGCCTGTGCCAGTGCTCTGGCACCCGAACTGTAAAGAAGTTTTTCCATGTATTGGAATGGAATTTCCTACGTTCCAACTTGTGCCCATAAACTAAACGTTGTATGCAGGAATACTTACCATGAGTACAGAATGGTTCCCACTACTGATGCAAGTTTGCAGTTTTCTTGCTTTTGCTTTGCAAGCCCAAAGTCAGCTACAATAAAGAAAAAAGATTCACATGTCAATAACCACCCTCTTTGCATGACAATCAGTGCTGGGTCACAATAGCTGAGAAGTTGGGGGAGGGTGGAAGGGAGGTTTGGGATTTTTTTTATCTTTTATATTTCATAGTACTGGACCATACTATCTTCCTATCTCCACATTAATCATCTTATGTTTGAATCAGGCCTACCAGCTTTAAAAATATTATAAACACATTTTTGATGCTTTCAATTCAAACTACATGACCAGTTTCAGGTTTCTATTAATATATTCCAATAAACAGCATGACAATGGTAAGTATCTAATAAGCAGTGATCTAATGCCCAAATTAATGGAAAAAATAACGTCATGAAGTCAGTAATTATTTCACTTCCCTTCAAATTATGATAGCTCGGAAGGGCGGACTTTCTCAGAAATTAATTTCAAAGGAGTACGGGGGGGCAATATCTGAATTGTTCATGTTCAAAGATTGCATTTGGTAAGAAATAATGGTGAATATTAGCCTTACCTTGTGACAAAAGCTGTAGATTTAGATGATCATACAATTATGTTAATATAAGTGCCTTTTATGCAATTATTAGGCAGTCTTTCACAAAATTGTCATACACAGTCTTAGAGATTATATTTTTAATTTAAGTTCCACGCAAACAGTTCAAGCTTATTTTTTTCAATTCAATACTCTACTGCTGCCTCAATGCAACAATTCAGCATATATACATTGCAGTTTATTAAATCCAAGCACAGAGAGCAAGAGAGAATCATAGAATCATTTAGGTTGGAAAAGACCTTTAAGATCATTGAATCCAACAGTAACCCTAACGCTGCCAAGTCCACCACTAAACCATGTCCCTAAGCACCACATCTACATGTCTTTTGAATACCTCCAGGGATGGGGACTCAACCTCTTCCCGGGGCAGCCTGTTCCAATGCTTCACAACCCTTTCGGTGAAGAAATTTTTCCTAATATCCAATCTAAACCTCCCCTGGTGCAACTTGAGGCTGTTTCCTCTTGTCCTATCGCTTGTTGCTCAGGAGGAGACTAACACCCACCTTGCTACAACCTCCTTTCAGGTAGCTGTAGACAGCATAGTTGCATGGGGTTGTTGTCAATGATCTGGATTACGGGATCAAGTGCACCCTCAGTAAGTCTACAGACAACACCAAGTTAGGTGGGAGTGTTTGTCTGCTTGAGGGTAGGAAGGCTCTACAGAGGGATCTGGACAGGCTGGATTGATGGGCCAAGGCCAATTGTATGAGGTTCAACAAGGCCAAGTGATGGGTCCTGCACTTGGGTCACAACAACCCCATGCAACACTACAGTCTTGGGGAAGAGTGGCTGGAAAGCTACCCAGTGGAAGAGGACCTGGTGTTGGTTGACAGCCGGCTGAATACAAGACAGCAGTGTGCCCAGGTGGCCAAGGTGGCCCACAGCATCCTGGCTTGCGTTAAAATCCATTAATAAATTTTCTATTGTAATACTACTTCAGAATTGGGAAGATTTGTGTGGTAAATAATATTGTTTAAAATTTTTTAAGGCTCCTGTTCTACCTGGACAAAGCCCATAGCATTCCTATTCCAATTGTCTTCACAGTGAGATAGTTAATAAACATTTTAGTTCAAAATATTTCTACTGATCAAAAAAAGCTGCAGATCAGAAGAAACACAAGTAAGAAAAATTAGTTTCTGTTGGCTCTTGCTCAGTGCGACCCTCAAGGGTCCAAAAAGGAGTAGGTCTCTTATTCAAAAAGGGTCTTTGATAAGAAAGACAAATCTGGGTACCCAGCCCACAGATCATTTTTCTTTGAACAAAATGTTCAAAGATGGACTCGTTCTGCAGTGCTTGGAAAATACAAGTAGAAAGAATGCTAAATTAACAGGATCGCTGAGAAGTATCCCATTTGCCCTTGAGTTAAGACAGTGCTCAGGCAGTTCACTCCAGGGAGTATTAATCCCAAAAGAATCAGAGGTTTTTGCCATATTGATACTTCCCTGATTTAACTGGGGTGAATCATTCTAAATTTCCTCCTTTAGAATCCTTCACATAATATTCTATGAAGAAAGAGTATTAAGACATTACATCAATCAATAAATTCAGTTTCTGGTGCTTGAAAGATTTAGGAAAGGGAAGAGGAGAGCTGAGTTCTGGAAGTAGTCTATTTTAATACATTAGTGATTATCTGGAAAAAAGAAAGCAAGGAAAAAATCAGCCAGATGGAGTAAATATATTATCTTCCTTTTAGGCTCGGGTCCTCAGAAACAGAGGGGAAAAAAAACCCGTTTCACAGACAACAACTTTTCCAAATTCTGCTAAACCATCTTGATATCAGCAAGAAGCTCCTAAATACAATTGGTGCTGCTAAGGAACGTAAAGCACAGGACAATCAACTTTACATTATAAATAAATGCTTTTTCTTAGCTTTTTTAAGCCCATAATACAGAACTGAATGAAAAGGAACTGGCAAATGTTTAACTGCATCGAACTAGCGAAATTGCTTCTTTTAATTCATTTAGGCATCTGTCTGCAGCTTATAAATTAGTCTCCACTTTTAATACTCCAGGATTCTTTATTTGGTATTTGATGCCAACAGTTGCTACAATAACTAACAAATTAAATCCTGCCTGTGAACTGCAAGAGGCCTGCCTCCCATACCGTTAAATAAAGATATGACCAAATATAAAGAGGACCTCTATTAACTGGTATTCATTGTTTCAGCTGTGAACTGAGGCTTGATTATTGAGGACACTTTGAGACAATTCATATTTGGCAATTTTCTGAAACAACTTCACACCATATCAGTATGTCTTTTAGAAGCTGGAACAGAATTTTGAGGAAAGATAACTCAATACTTGCTCGACTTCTTATGAACTTTACTCAAGTGTCAGCTTTTCACACAAAGAGACAACTAAAAAATCACTAGATCAGATCAAAGATTTATAATTTTATGACCTTACTGGTCACTTCTGAAATTCAAAATCCTACTGATTAAAGAAAGTATTCTTCCTGAACCATCTCAGCTTACTACAGTTAACTCATTCAGTAGCACATCAAGCATTAATACATAGCTTTTAAGTAAGGCATGAGCCTTTCCTTAGAGGTTAGACCTAAACAATTCACACACGTGTGTGAATGCAGATGCATCTGATCACAAATCTCACCAATTTCACAATGAAATACAAAACCTTCAGCTTCCAGATACTGTCCTACAGCTTCCATTCTCAAACAAAAAAAAGCAGCCTACCAATTAACAGAACTGTTGTGATTACTTGCTGGAAAGAATTATATCAATGCCAACAATATCGTGATAATTATCAGTAGAATATAGCTGGCCAGAGAAAAATGGAAAAGCCCATAGAGAATCATACTCAGGAGGCCAGTGAAAGCCTTGTAAACCAGTAACTTAGATGAACCAAAACAAAGGCTGGTAAGAGCAAAGGCAAAGAGATAGCACAAAACAGGAGGAAGGGAGAGCGCAGGCAGGCCATCCAGCCACCACCACCGTCAGGATGCAGAAATGCATCCAAAGGGGAAATTATAAACCCATCTTAATTATTCAGAGCAAGATTCTATGAGAAAAATGAGCTAGTAACCCTCTACCATAAAAAAAGACCAGTCCTGCCCCGTTCTTGCACTGTCTCTGGAAACCAGCTCATCTGGCACTTGTGTCTTGATGCGTTTAACTCACCTTTTTTCTAGACTAGTTTCATGCTGCTTTAATCTAGCCCCAGACTTGATATTGCAGCCCTAAAATCATTGAATTGTCTTCCATTTGTTTCCCTCTGTAGTCTTGCAATGCAGGAATCAAATTTGCTTTGGAGAAGCAACTCCCTCATCCCCCCCAAAATAAAATATATTAAAAAAAAAAAAAACCTCATTTTGACTGTTAGATTGTCCCACTGTCCCAAAAAGTAAAAATTACCCCTTTGGGATCAAAATGAAAACAAACAATGGCAACTTTGTAGTACAGCTGAAGAAAAACCAAAATGCTAGTGGATGACTGTCATGATTTAACCCCAGCGAGCAACTAGGACCATGGAGCCACTTGCTGACTGCTTCTCTTCCCCAGCGGGATGGGAAGAAGAATCGGAAAAAATAAGGAAAACTCATTGGTTGAGATAAAGACAGTTTAACAGGCAAAGCAAAAGCCATGCACGCAAGCAAAACAAAACAAGGAATTCATTCACTACTTCCCATCGGTAGGCAGGCGTTCAGCCATCTCCAGGAAAGCAGGGCTCCACCACACCTAACATTCACTTGGGAAGACAAAACACCATAACCCTGAACATCCCCCCCTTCCTTCTTCTTCCCCCAGCTTTATATGCTGAGTATGACGCCATATGGTATGGGACATTCCTTTGGTGAGTGGGCGTCAGCTGCTGCGGCCATGTCTCCTCCCAAGGTTTTGTGCACTCCCAGCCTAACTCGCTGGCAGGGGGCAGAAGGAGCAGAAAAGGCCTTGACTGCTTAGCAACAACTAAAAACATTACTGTATTATCAATATTATTCTCATCCTACATCCAAAACATAGCACTATACCAACTGCTAACAAGAAAGTTAACTCTATCCCAGCTGAAACCAGGGATAATGACACATTTCAATGAGGAAGCAGTCTTGGACCTTCAATGTCACCAGTGGAAAAATCTATCTACCTGCCCAAAAAAGAGAGTTATTTGTTGCTGCATAATAATGGTTGTTTTCATCTGCACATGTCATTTTGGAAAAATGATACTTTTCCTGGTTTTAAACACTATTTTAATTTTTTTCAGGTGCATGTAAATTACATGCATATCACCACTACAACTTATTGTACCATCCTAATACATGAGAGTGCATAAACCGAGGGGAATGATAGGTACCCCAATCTTGCAAACAAGTTTTCTAAAGTAAAATTTCCATGGTAATAATTTTTGATACTTTGTCTGCTGTGCAGCCTCAACTGACATAATTTCTTTACAGCTAATTTCTCCGCCGGTTGGAAGCTTGGCATCCTTTGT